ATATCATATTGTCCGGTCATTTCTGTGACATAATTATAGTTTATATAGTGTCATCAAAGTGACCAGACTTTATAATGTTTATGGATATATATTTCTATATATTTATTTGTGTACCGGCCATTTCGATGACTACGCTGATTATATTATCCGGTCATTTTGAGGACACTCTATAATATTTATATAGTTACCAATGTGACCACATGTTAGGAAATTTGTGTATATAAATATATATATATATATATGATATTGTCGGGTACTTCCGCGACACGAATGTAGTTTATATAGTGTTATCAAAGTGACCAGACTTTATAATGTTTATATATATGCATTCATATATATTTATTTATTTCAGTGTAAACAAACTGACTGAATCATATAGGTTGTACACTATTTTTTATTCTCTTATAAAAAGAACGAACATCGAGACTATCGATATCTCGAACGTCTGTCACGCTTATTCCTCATTGCTTCAGTCGTCCGAGGCGGCTAACTTAAGCCCATGTGCCTATTTGCACATTTTTCAATTCTGAAATTGTGGGGACGACGCATTCTTACTGATTTAGCGCCTGGTCAGGGGAATCTTTCTTCTATCGCAGTGCTAAACTATAAGCATTATCAGATGACATCATTATTTCCCTCACCAGATTGGCATTTGTCAAGTGGTGTGTTCAAGTGTCCTATATTCAATTTGCTATACCAAACTATCCGACTGGTAATTTTGGTCAATCAAAAGGTTAAGTGATCACTTCGATGACACTGGTCACCCAAATGACCATTTTTCGTTAATGTATATATCAACAGTTGATTCAAAATGAGTAAATTTCAAGTAATTGTCGAATTGCCTCCCCCCGCAATGTTCGGATTACATGAATAATATTTTTGATCATTTTTAATTGCAGTATCTGTTTTGAATAATCTCAACATAACACTTTTTACGGACATCAATTGCTGTTGTCGATGTGTAGTATGTGCGGTTGTTCATAGGACAATATGCAGCTTGTATATTTTTCGATAGTTGAAGGACAAAGTGGTCATTTCCGTTCAGTTCTCAATGAGTATTTCGATAGATTACCGACAAAAACCAGAAAATATTAAATAACAGTCGACTGGATACCCTGCACGAAGATTCGGATTTCATTAACAATGTTATTAAGATTTTGCAATT